TGTCTCTGATTTTGATTAGAAAAAAAAACCACAAAACCTCTGAATTGCTCAGGACAGCGAGCTGTCTTACAAGCCTGAAGTTTGTTTAAATGCAGCTATTTTCATGGTATTCCTTCCAAAAGAGGGAAAGAATAAATATGAAATGTTTACTGAACTACAATGGAGCCATAGGAAGAATAAAGTCAGGCCATTCTGATTTGAAATATTTTTGTTTGAATTACTCTGATGTTTGACGTTCTGTGATGTCCCGAGTGAGTCCCGATTCTAAGGCTGTGATAAGAAGTGTTATAAAACCCCAACAAATACACAACACAGAACCCCACAACAAAATCCTACAGTAGAGTTTGGAGAAACTTTCAGGCAGATGGGTGCTAAATCTCAGGCATTCAGATTTTCTGTTGTTCATTGCCACAGAATAGACTCTTCAAACTTCCTCTCAAGTCAGGGGAGTTGAACATTAAGAGTATGCTGGCCCCTGTTCAATGCAGTGTAAAGAACCAAACCTGTTCAGTCTAAATATTACAAGCAGATTAATTCTCATGGAGACAAGTTCCACCTATGCTAATTTATCTTATCAGGAAGCTTGGTAAATTAGCCCCAAGCAGCCATCACCAGACCATCTAAAAATTGGATATGCATAATGTAGAAAAGGTACTAAGTACTTTCAGGTCTCATTTACTTTGCTGAAGATGTGGGAGCTCAATATATTTCATATTCAGGCTCTTGACTGGGTGTAAAATCCTAATATCAGTGGAGGCAATAGCAAAGCTTCCCTGAGTTCAGTGCTGCAAGATTACCCTGACTGGGCTAATAAGGGACAGGTACTTCTTCAACACAAGAGCCGCTTCACTGCAGCAGTGTACCTGACAACAGAAGGTGACTATACAGCTGAAATGTAGGTAGCTCCTGGTAGTATTGCCATGTGGGAGCGAGTTCCCATTGGAACCATTTGTTTCAATCCTGTAAACAAGGTGATTTAATATCTGCCACTTTACATTTGTAAACTCCCCTTAGTTTTACCATAACTATAAAAAGGAATAATTTAGATGTCTGCTTTTATTATTAACTCAAATGGCAGCAGTATGCTTGGTTCCATAAAAGACTTAGGAGTCAGCATGCCCCCAGAAATATTAATCTCACAAACATGGGAAAATCACATTTAATGGAAGACATAGGAAAAAAAAAAGCTTTCATAACTGATGCTTTCATAACTTTCATAACTAACTTTGATGCTGACTTTCTGCTTATTGTGTTTGCTGGACTTTTGGGGGACAATTGTCTTCAGGAATGCGAACTACATTTGAGAGGTTTTATAAACAAAAGTATTCTGCATGGCCTTGCTCTGCGTGTGCGTGTCATTTATTGTATTTGTTGTCCATTGAAGCTAACGAGCCTATCCACAAGAGTAAACATCAGATGATAAAATTTTCCCCATTTAGACCCTAACTCACATCTCAAGATGTGTGACCAAATGTCGGACATTCCACTCAGAAGTCCAGATGAGCTCATCTCAGATAACTCACTGTGTTTCCATCTGGTTCAGATTTGAAGAAAGCTATTTAGTTGGAAGAAGAAAAATACATTTTGTATCATTTTAATGCTGAACAGATTTAGTGACATACTTGCTTATTTAATCTACAGCGTTGGAGAGTCTAATGAACTGAGTAAGATACATATCTTGGCTCCAGTTCTGTTCTAAGATACACCAGAGAAGCCCCAATTGACTTAAATGGAATAGCATCTTTGTTAATGAGTGCAAAATGTATTCCAATGAAAAAAAGTGTACAAGCATGGTACAAATTTAAGTATTTCAAACTATTGGAAATTACTTAACAGTTCATCTGTATTTATGTCTTATGTGTGTGTTTTTAGAGGAACAATACTGTTCAGTCAATAAAATAGTCTGGGTTTTTTTCAACCGAGGAATTCGAGCTTGTAACTCCCACTCCCAATAGCTGGAGAAATAATAGGTATGTGAATCTTCCAAATTCTGATGGGAGAGTGAAATCTGGTGTTACGCTGCACATCACACACTGCCTCTGTGTGAGCCAGACAGGTTACCTTTGATATAATACACCCCGGGCCTGGGGGATGCCAGGCACCTATTAAAGCGTTCATGGCCATAAACTATGTTTCAGGAAAATGGGTTTTCTCAGGACTGTTTAGATAAGCTTCCTTTCTGTTGTACACAGAGGGACAAGTGACATTAAAAAGAGGTCTCTCCATAGCCCAATTTGAATAGGGAAATTCTGGTGACCTTATCCAGAGAAACTACCAGATGCCAGCAAATGCCATAATCCTGCTTAAACTGGCATTGCCACTGGAATAAAAAAATCTCGTTCTGTCCACTGCAGCTGCTCATTCATTCCCAGTTCTGCTCTATCCTTTTTTCCTGTTGCACGTGCCTGCGAGGTCTCATGGTGAATAAGATTAAGGGAGACGCTTGGATAAAGCTGTCCTGTTGTTTGTGTGGGAAGAGACCATATAGACAAGAGATGAAGGTAGGAAAGAGAAGTATAAACTGTGTCAAGGGTGAGATCCATATTGTTGGTGGCAGTTCCATTTCAGGCTGGTTAAAGTATTTCACAGTACACTTGAGGGTATGTTTTCAAGTCTGAATAAGAACTCATTGCTTCTGGCCCAAGTTTTACCTCTAGTTCAGTTGTTTAAATGTATTTTTTTTCCATGCTAAGCAATGCATATGTAAACCTACAAGTTCTACTGCTGAAAAATACAAGGGTTCAGAAAAAAGTGAGTCCAAGTTTTGTTTATGTGTTGGGTTTGTTGTACAGTTCAGGTTTCTTAAATGTTGTGCTGTCAGTTTATTTTGCTACACTTGCGTTGTCGTTAGAGTTGTGAGATAAAAGACTTGATTCTGAAGTGTCAAGACTGAAGTGCTGTTTTCAGTGCAACTGATGAAAGAAAAAATGAGAGGGATGCTTCTTTTCCAAAACGATGCTACAATAATGAGTTGTACAGAGAGTGTTATTTGGGACTCAACTGTAAAACATCAGGAGTCTTCTGACAAATCTTTTTTTTTTGTCAGAAAATGTCATTTGGTGGCAGCATTCAAACACTGAAATGTCAGCTCACCAAAATTTGGCAAAATCTCTTCTCCAGATGATATATGGAGGGAAGGAGAGACCAAGCTAAGAGAAAGAACTTGGCTTTCTCCCAGGTGTGGAAAACCAACTTTCCAACCTCAATCCAGTTAGTGAAAGCTCTCCAGAGGGTTCTCACCCTTTCCTGGGTAGTGCAGCTACTATGAACCTTCTCTGGGGTCCTTGTCACAGAGATGTGCTTTGTTTTCAGTGGAAAGGTCGCGGATTGCATTCGCATGCATACAGAAACAAATGTTGAAACAGTTTCATGAAGCAGAATTCCAGTTTTCCAGTCAGCCTTCCTTCTATGCTTTATCATCAGCTGAACTTGGTAAAAAAGGAAGTAAAAAGTAGCCTTCTCTAAAAAGAAACAGACTCAAGGGAACATATTTGAAGCAGACATAAATGCCAAATTTCCATTGCCATAAAATGATTAAGAATGACTGAGTGGCTGAGAAGTTCTGTCCCCTTCATCATGGACAATCTGAACGTGGGAAATTCTCTTATAAAGATGCCAGAGCATTTAACTGCCTCTTTATATATTATATAAAGGCTGAAGTGTGCATTGTGCCATGTACACTGATTACAGCAATGGCACAGACAGGCAGTCAATCCAGAAGGCAGAAGCAGAGGAGATGCATTTGCTGAGCTCTTTTCAATGAAAGAAGTGGGCACAGAGATTCACGGGTGTTAATGTGATCTTCTCTTTTATGGCATGCTGACAGTCGCTGTTAATAATTACTTGGATATTTTTGGAGACTTGGGCAAAGAAGGAAAGGGAGTTAACTCTCCTTCTTTTTCCCTTTCCATTTAGCTGCAGCAAGTTCTTGTGAAGATTCCTTCACTGCCTCATTCTGAATCTTTTTCAGTTTTAACTGTCCATTTGGTAGAAGAGGAAAAAAGTGATTTTGTTATTCTTACTTAAAACTGATTCCTAGTTTCCTGGGACAACCCAAGACAGAGGAGAAGGAGGAGGGAAAGCAGTACATCAAAACAGCAGCAGTTCTTCTAAACTTGCTTGGAGAAAATAAAAACATAGAAACCCTTATCAGCCACTCTGGAGACCTGGCAAATTTACACTAGTGCTGGGCTGTCAAAGGCAAGCACTCTTGTTTATCTTGCTGGTTGCAGGATTGTAGCAGTGATGCAAAAGAAACAGTTTAAGACAGACTAAATAGATGGCAAGAATAGGGAAAAATTAACACTGGAGAAGAAAAAGGAGATAGCAGGGAGAGGCCAGGAACAGGAGCCTGAGCCTTATAGGCTGGATATCACTCAGAAGTTAACAAAAGCTAGTAAAAATAGGGTTATCTTTTGGATCCTTCCCACTGACTGTTTGTCCATGCCATATCTAAGCATTAGGAGAGCTAAAGTCCAACAATGCCATAAGTAGTCCTGAAGTCCCAGCAGACAGTGGGCATTTTGTGCCACGAAGTCGCTCACTCTTCCAGCCCTCCTGGCATCAAATTATGGACTGAAAGTGGAAATAAGCAAAAAATTACCCTTTTGTTGGTTGCCAACTAAATAAAATTTCCTGCTCATCAGTTTTGGGCTGTTCCTCTCGTTTCCAAGATGTAATCCCACTCTGCTGCACTTCATTCAGCAAGCATTTTCTTCTGAACTCCTTAAACCTTTCTCCCTATAATCTGTACTGACTTTATAAACTCTTCCATGTAACAGGCACAGGGAAAAATTTTATCTGGACATGCAAGTTATCTTGTCAGTTTTGGATTAGTGGTTTTGGTCCAGTGACTTAGCCACTGTTAGTTTCTTTTAAAAATAAACTATTATTTTACAATTTCTTTTAATTCACTAAGCAAAAATTGTTCTACAGTTGGAAAAATGTCATCACCAGATTTCCTCTTTTTGCTTCTGTAAACTGCAGCACTAGAAGAAGGGGGAAGGGAGGAAATTTTTATTAGCTGTTTAAATGGTGGTCCAAACACAGACAAGCAAGTCTTCTGTTAAGAAACTACATTTTTCAAAGTTGTCTCAAGTTCTTCAGACATTAATGCTCGGGTTTATTACACTGTTTGCTTCAGTATCAATCAACTCTGAAATGAAAATAGTCACCCTCCAGTGCATATTGCCTCTTCATAGTGCAAAGAACTACTCTGGTACAAATGATATTTCATTCTAGTATTTTGCAAGCTGCACATTTATTAGTTCATCTGCTGTTTCACGTAGCTGATGGAGAAGCTAACATAAAAAATGGCCCAAAGAAAGATAACATAAGAAGATGGAAGGAAAAGACAGTAGCCCTTTCAGATTCAGTTTTGCGTGCTAGAACTTCAAGCATTTAGGGGTCCTGTGACTCTTGAGTCATGCCTGTGTTCTCCGAGATACACTGGCATCCCTTCCAGCTCCACTTCTCTGCATTATTCTCCAGTTGAGTTACTCATATTAACACCACATTTCAAAACCCCACTTTCTTCCTCTACTGAGTGCTACCATGTGTACCGCCAATAAAACTTCATTAGTATAGCTGCAATGCGATGAGGTGGTCTCATGACTGGAATGTGGGCATCTGTGGCAGCAGCTTGGTCTGGGTAGGTTGACTGAAGTGAGTAGGTGCTGCACAGCACAGCAGGCACAGCCTGGTCTGCTACCAACAAAGAGGTGTGCTGAGCACTGAGCCTTACCTGAACATGCGGCTCACACCTGTGGAATTCTGAAAGAGGAACCAGTGAGTACCTTTCACAGAACACCTGGTCACTGCATGCAACTGCCTGGGACATCTATTTGGTTGTATTAAGAAAAAGAAAAAGAATCTTGTGTGGCTTCAATTTGGATTTGCTAAGCATCTGATGCCGAACTCTGAAAGAGACTCTAAAAATAAGAACCAGCTTTTAAATACGGAAAGGCTTGCGCTTGGGGGGATGACTTTAAGTCATCCTATTTTAAACAGGAGCTCAGTCTAACAGAGGGAGTGCTCTATGATTTTGTTACCTAATGCAACCAGAACATGGCATGAAATGATTAAAGGAGAACAGCGAGCCAGTTCTCTAAAGCCTAAAGCAGTTCTAGGCATAGTTACTTAGGAACAGAAACTTAACATGGTAACTCTTAATAAAAATTGGGAACTGCTTTAGATCTACTGCTGCTTTAGATCTACTGCTGCTTTGTCCATGCACAGCATAAAGGAGAAGTACATGGAAAAAAGACTAAGTTAAAACTCAACATATACAGGTGATGAATGGAAGTCAAAAGAATAAATAGACAGTTTGCTGTCCAAGAAAGACACAGTTCTGGCTTGTGTTCACAATGGAGCAGGAATATACATTCTCTTGGCTGGACAGCAAACAGTGTCACGCTGTACCATTAGCTACGCCATGCAGGACTGTGTAAATGCCTTCAGCACATCATGCCATTCACTGGAATTGAAGCACGAGTCTGATGCCTGCTCAGTGTAAGAGAGGAAATGTTTGAAAAGTAACTTTCAGTTCAACAGACTTGATTACCTCAAGGTGCATTTACTATCCTGTCACTGCAAAATACCTACCTGTGTATTTACCTGGCTAGATCTCTTACTGCCTTTCTGCTCTCTTATTTCACCAGTAAAGGTGGAAGGGGAGAAAGGGAAAAAAACACAAACCAGAAAAAAAATGAAAACCCAAAAACTGTTGCAGAAGGGAGATTATTTTTAAATGTTTTCTATGAAAATATTAACATATTTTCCTGGCTTTAGTGAGTGCATGAAACAGACCTTCTATGTTCTGGTGCTTCCTACACTAGTCAAGGGGAAGTATGGGTGGCTTTTTTTGCTTCTGGGTTTTTTATTTTTTTTGACAGGATTGTTCATTCCTCATCTTTCCATTTGAACTTCCCATGAAGAAACCTTAATATTTCCATGCAACTCCATAGTAACTAACACGTAAAATAGTAAAACCTCAACACTGACCTCACTGCTTGCTCTCTGCCCTCCAAAACTCCCAATGATATAAAGAATTCTAAGAAAACGAAGTGGGGTGTGCAGGCATGGTCCAAGAGAGGGATTAGCTCCATGAAGACATAAATCCAGGAAAGAGGCTGACCAAACGAAGGTCCAGCGGAGGAGCTGTCTCCCAGTGGCTGCTGTATCCATGCTGTTGTGAACACTACACTCTAATAACAGTACTATCTAACTTCCACTTTTTGTGTTTTCTTTGGAGAGAAAAACTGCCAAAAGGAAATTCTTTTGCCTATGGCCAAGTAATGTTATTCAAAATTCCTGTGTTAGATGGGGGTTGCTAAAATCCCTTTGGAATCTCCCTTGTGCAGTGTTTCTGTACAAATACAGCATGGCACTATGTTAAATCACCACAGCTGAATGATCTCTGCAATCCATGGCACAAGGAAAACAGATTGATCATATGGATTGAATCACAATAGGAAAGACTAATACAGAATATATTTTCTTTAATTAGGAAATCTTTCTGTCTCAGGTGCTCAAAAAAGTGAAGTTAATTCATGTAAACATTTTACATCTGGGTAGACTTAAAAATGCATCAGCACAGAATATGTTAAAGTTGTAGCTTCCATGGGGAAATTCTATCACTCTTAAGGGCCAAACACTGAAGCCCATAGGATTTTCCTCTGTAGAATCAGAATGAAACAAAACAGCCCCCATCTCTCCCCTTGACAATTGACAACAGGCACTAGAGCTCCATACAGGAAAACAGAAAATGAGCACTAATGAACTTTGAAGTGAACTTGCCAAGTTTCAATACTGTCTTCAGTTAAATCTCTTCTAAGATTTTTTTCCAAGGTATTCACAGGAAATAAATAGCTTATGAAAACAGGAGTGTGATTTCAGTGGAACCATTGACATACCCAAGAGCCCAAGTCAAAACTTGTTCATATGAGTGAAAGTCTCCATAGCCATTGACAGAATAGCACATGTTTCATCAATTTGGGGGTCAGTCTGGCAAAAAGATGTGGGTACAGTTATGTGCTGTGCCCTGACTGCCTCTGAAAGTCTTCAGTACTTTTAGAGTACCTATTCAGTTCCTTTGGATGCCATGCAGAGATGACAGAGACAACTCTGAACCTTCTCATACCAAGATAATTTCCAAAGCCAAGTTTCAGATACTAAAAGATAGTCTCTGAATGAGCAATCCTTGTTTCTGGAAGCAGGATAATCTCACTAGCAAGGCGCAGGTTGCTTTCCTGCAAGGCTGACTTGCTAAGCAAGCATGGCTGTTTTTTTCCCAGTGCCTGCTTTGCTGCTACATGCTTAAGCTGAGTAGATTTATATGTCCCTGCACTGGGCTACTTAGTTGTAACTACTGGGTCTCAGTTCTTTGGGTGTAAAATGAAAGCAGTAACAGCCTCCTCCTGCCTTGCGCTCATGTAAATGGAAAAATGGTAGAAGACAGAAAAGCATGTGGGTGTTTCTTGTAAAGGTTACTAGACGTGTATCTCAGTATCTCTTTTTCTGGCAACTTTGTGAATTTTGAACCTTACCGATGCCAACTGGCCAGGCGATGTCATCATTTTATCCACAGTCCCACTTTTATCCTGTTTCCCTTGTTAGTCACATCCAGGTTTGGAGAGCGCAACAGTCCAGAGGGATGGTGAGAAACAGGAGAAAGAGAGTCATCACAGAGCTGATGCTGGGCCTCTGTGAGCTACAGAAGGCCTGAAATGCAGCGGAAAGCTGGCTGGGTCAGAAGCTTTCCAGCCACTTCCTTTTTCTACTGCTACCACAGCAGGATGTGTGATGGGAGGCACCCGATGTTAAGACCTATCCTGAAACTCAGATGATTATCCCTTGACCACTTAATATGTTTCTACTAGTAGATCATACTGTCAGTGCCACTCAGAGTAGTCATACTAGATGGTAGAATGTCACTGAGTAGCCTGCTAAGTTAGAAGACTGGATACACACGACTGTTTTTGTATGTGAACAGAGAAATATGCTGCCCTGCAAGGTAAGGAGGAAAAAAAATCCTGAGGTTGTTAAAGGTGCAGGCAAAACTCCTCTCGGTATCCTCTCTTCCCTTGTGTGGGTAAGATATCTCACATATAATATATGTTCCACATGTTACTGGCTCATTTTCCTTCTCTTACTATGATCTCTTTTAAAGCAGAATTTTGGTCTTTAAAAGCAAGCCCCTGCCCTCTCACATTTAGGAAAAGTAAACAACTTCTCTAAAATCTGTCTGAATTTCTCTGCAGTGGGTTTGTGGAGTTTATATCACAGATCAGACAGTCATAGTGAAAGAGGAATATGACCTACTCTGCATATGAACCAGGAAGTCTACTCTTTTATGTAGTTAGTGAATTTCACATGAAAGATCTGAATAGCTTCCTTTTTCCACTTCAAGTTAAAAATAACAGAGCCCAGCCCAAAAGCCAGATGGATACAGAGGGATGTGGATAAAGTAGGAGACTGTCAATCCTGTGGCTCAGGAGGTCAAAGCACTGTAAGAACTTCACATGCTGATACTGTAAACCAGACCAAATGTAAGTCTTGCAAGTGCTTGACATGATACTTTTAAACATAATCTTAAAACCTTCTGCAATGTTACTCTGCCTCTCTGTCCTAATATTAGCTTTTTTAGCAATGTATTTTCCAGAAAAGTGGACTTGATGTAGGAATTGTTAATTAAATGATCTCTGTCTGGTGTTATAAAGAAACAGAACTATGTAATTTTTATTGATATCAGTTACATTTTGCTTGCCCTTCATGCCTAGTTTTGAGAGATCTCATATTGGAAGGTGAAGAGATTGTGTTTTTAGTCTGTATTTCTAGCTATCTTCTCCCTGTTGAGCCATATGGCTACAGTTTTGGGCTCCAAACTGGAGTCTGAATGTCTCTCTGGATATGTTTAAATTGTACAGTAGGTACAAGCTGTGAAGCACCTCAAGGTGGCTGTTTTCTAGTTGTTGCTTCAGCATGTGGCTGAAGTGTGTGTTGGCTCTCACCTGCTCATAAATCCCTCCTATTGGAGGGGGGTGACAGCATCTGAGTCTCACTGAACTGTGACCTGGCATGTGGGTGTGTGGGTCAGTGTGCCTTTTGCACACATGAGTTGGGCAACCAATAGCTCATATTTGTGGGTCTCTGATGATGACTGATAATCTCATTATTTTCTGCTTTTTAGCAGGAGAGTAGAGGTAAGTGGAGGGATTCAGTATATAAAACACCAACCTGAAAAGACAAGCAATTGAGTTGGCCAAGAGTTTTTACAGCTGGCATTGCTTCAGCAGCTTCTAGGAGAGTGCAGTTGTTTTTATCATTCAAGAATGATCTCAAAAACATGGAGAGAACACAAAGAGGATCCACTGCAAGGGTTAAAGAAATGGCAGATGTACAAAGACTCGAAGGAGCTCAACCTACGTATTGGGAGGGTGATAAAGTTAAGGGAGAGTCTGCAAGTCACACTCACTGGGGAAGAAACAATTCGATGATAAAAGGCTTTCCAATCCAATAAACAAAAGTACAGAACCTAGAAGATGTGATCTGAGGCCTCTGCTAAAAGCCCAACAGAAAAGAAAGTCTTTCCCAATAGCTCCACTTTGGTCCAGCTGAGATGATCATGGAGAGAACTGTTCCTTCTGCTGACTCCAGTGCAGGCAGTGCTTCCAGCCTGACAAATTATGGCCATGGTCCTGATTTGGCCCAGTGGTGATGACACACTACTGCACTGAAGAGATGCATTAGAGAAGAAGCAGGCAAGAAAATGTCTACATAGCTGGCAGGTCACCTGTGAATTGCTGAGGGATTCTTAAGAAGTCTGGATTGATTTTAGTATCATGAAGTCTGGATTGATTTTAGTATCATGGACTGGCCCTGGTAAAGCAGCCTTTTTAACATGTCTTAGGATTGAACAAACAGGGGCAAA